GGATTGTTGTTGGTCCCCCGAACCCTTAAACAGCAGCCTAAACATTAAACCCTTTTTGTATAAGGTCTCCTCACCACTGCCTGCCTCGCCTTAAACCCGAAACCCTAAACACTAAAATAACCGCAGATCACATCGGGCAATGAGGCCATTGACGATGTGGACGTCGCTGTGGGAAAGTGAAGCTGCCTACGTCTCAACCTATAGATGCCTGACTGATGCGGTTGTCGATGATGTGGCTATATGTGGCTGACAAGGATGTCGACAATGAGGATGACAGAGAAGATGCGAAAATCGGACGATACAGACGCTAGTGGACTCACGCTGCTGAAGTCTCCTTCGCCGGCGGCCAGCCGACAAGTGCAACGCTGCCGCGTTCATCGATCGGGCACTGATGCCGCTGCAGTTGGTTGGCCACACGACGTGCCCCATGCGACGACGGTGGCCATCTGCTTACGTGGCCAAACCACCGCGTTTGAACCTGTCGTTACCACGCGGCACAGGCACTATCACCCGCCCCCCCCCCAAGGCTTCTAGTTGCTCATCGGATAATACAAACGGTGTGTCCTTAGTGCCGCCCCTGCATTCCTCTCCAGTTGCCCAGCCGAAAAGAGAAGATCAGCCCAAGGGCAGGAGATTGCAATCACATGCTCATAATTGGCAACCGCCACACCGTAAGAGGACACGTGGTCTCGGCAAGCTCCCCAACTCCCACCAACAAAACCCAACACCATCGCGCAACACCCCAAACTTCACGCGACCTGTGTGGAACACATGGTCGACAACCGTGTTTCGGCTGAGTGCCTTAAGGGCAAACTGCTAGTCACTGGCCGACAATGGCGTTTGGGTGTTTTTTCTTTTGGGTCCTTTTATTCTTTTTTGGGATTTCTTTTTTGGCCGATTTTCTTGCTTTTCCCAGGAAAAAAAACCTACTTTCGTTACATTTTGGACGAATTTCCTGTCATTTTCCTGAGGTTTTCGTTGGTTTTTCCTAGTCCTTACATGTTGGACGGATTTCCTGTCATTCCTCTTAGCTTTTCGTTGGTTTTTCATAGAGAAACCCTATTTTCTTTACGTTTTGGGCGGATGTCCTGTCATTTCCCTTAGGTTGTCGTTGGTGGAAAAGGCTACCTTCCCTCTGTATTGTCATAGGATTCATACTACTTTTCGTAGGATTTCTTATTCATGAGTGTTTTTTGGTTCGTTTTCTTGGCTTTTCGTTGGAAAAGGCTACATTCCGTCCATGTTTTCATGGGATTCATAGTACTTTCGTAGGATTTCTTCTAATTTGTTTTGGTTGTTTTCTTGGTTTTTCCTAGGAAAAACAGCCCCCCATTTGCAACCACAAAGCTCACACGATGGGTTTCAACAAGTTTCACTCACTCACTCACTCACTCACTGACGGCATTCGGACGAACGATCTCAATCCTAGCCGAGCGGGGGAGCTGCCCCGGCTTGTTGGTTGAGTAGCAGAGCTGCCAAACTGCCACTTGGCACACGTTGGTTCTGGAGACACAGGGAAGAAAGGTTAGCCCTCCCACAAAACTGTGCCAGCATCAGAAACGAAGGAAGTACGGCGGAACCCCCTACCCCATCTCACTGATTTTGGCGCTCCAATCCACCATGTGGAGCTTGACCATACCTGCGATGCGCGCCAGCACTGGAGAGCACAAGAGAGCTCAACACATGAGTAAGATCAGTTCAACAAGATTCATAGGAATTGAAGCACGCTTTGCACGGCCGAAAAAGAGCCGGGGGTTCGCAGCCCCCAACATTTGCAACACAATGCTCACATGATGGGTTTCAACAAGGTTCATAGGCTTTGAAGCACGCTTTGCACGGCTTAAAAGAAGCGGGGGGGTGGGGGGTCGCAGCCCCCCCATTTGAACAAGGTTCTTAGGCTTTGAAGCACGCTTTGCACGGCTTAAACGAAGCGGGGAGTCAGCAACAGGAGTCTGCCGTTCGAATTGTGGAACCCTCCCGCTTTTTGTTAATCCGTGCAAAGCGTGCTTCAAAGCCTATGAATCTTGTTGAAACCCATCATGTGAGCATTGTGTTGCAAATGGGGGTGCTGCCCCCCCCCCCCCCTTCAAGCCGGCTCTCCTTCCTTCCTTCTTACCTTCTTTTTCCTTCTATTCTTTTCCTGCCTTCCCTTGCTTCCTTTCTTCCTTCCTTCCTTCCTTGCTTCCTTCCTTTCTTGCTTCCTTTCTTCCTTCCTTGCTTCCTTCCTTTCTTCCTTCCTTCCTTGTTTTCTTCCTTCCTTCCTTTCTTCCTTCCTTCCTTCCTTCTTTCCTTCCTTCCCTCCTTCCCTCATTCATTCCTTCTTTCTTACTCTTCTTTTCCTAGTCAAAACCTGCGGAAAGTATGGAATCATACGAAAAAAACAAGGAAATGAACCAAATCCTATGAAAATGTAGAGGGAATGGTGGTTTTCCTAGGAACCACCAAGAAAATCGAACCAAAAAAACACCCCCCCCCCACCCCCCCCCCCCAAAAAAAAAAAAAAAATGTACCCTCTATGGCGTTTTGCTGTTCAGCACCTGACGAGCATCGGCTGTGCTGTGGATTGGGTTGGCCAGCCTTCACTGGAGATGTGTCTGCCTTGGCCTTGGCGATCGCACCTTCAAAGATCTGCAAAGACACTTCTTGCAATTTGGGAGCGATGCTTTCGTTCTCGTTGAGATCTCAGAGAAAATCCCTCTGCCTTGCAGGGCCTCCTGCAGCGTGCCATCCTCCAGGTAACCTTGGGAGATCTTGGGAAAGCTATGGCAAAGGAACTTCTTTCTTCCCTTCACATCTCTCTTTTTGCTGGCCGCGGGGCGTCCAAGCAGCTGCAGAAGTTGGAGTCGCAGCCCGTCGAAGCCCTGACAGAAGGAATGGGACAAGAAAAAGCACAGAGAAGCGCAAAGCGCGAGAAAACAAAAAGAAGGCGGCGAGAGAGAGAGAGAGAGCTCTCAAGCGACAGACGAAAGCTCCGAAACCCTAGCTCCACATGACTCCCTTCACCTGCCTCCACACCGGCCACCTCATTCAGCCATTGCCTCATATGGACGATTCCCAATGTCAATTTCCGATGGCCAAAAGAGCTCTCAGATGCGGTTGCGGGGCAGATTCGTGTGTGAGGAAGCCTCCAAGGCCTCTTGCAACACTGCGACCACGGAGAACGGAGACCAGGCAGAGCAACTGTTCCACCTCCTGTATCTCCGCCCTCAGCTCCTCTGGCACGGTGCCACAGGCGTCACATGCGTCACCTCAAGAGAGGAATTTGGAAGGCATTGGAAGAACATTGGAACATGAACTGGGACCCGCGCGAGGATCGGGTTCCGCCTCATTGCCCGAAGCGGGCAGCGGCGTTGCGGCTCGGCTCCCTGCAGCAGGCAACCAAGCTACCACTCAACTGCTGGGAGAAGTGCTGCTCAAGAAACTGCTCAGAAAAAAGAACTGCCTTCCAGCTCGGCGCCCGGTGTGCCGGCTCGCGTCGAAAGGTCGGGGCTTTCGCGCGCCTGTTCGCTTTTCACTCAGCTACGCAGAGAAGAGATGAGATGAGAACGGAAGGAGAGAGAACTTAAAGGGGAGAGGAGAGGAGAGCGATGGAGAGAACCCTCGCCTTCGCTTGCCAAGCCGGCGCCTGGAAAGCAGAGCACAGAGAAAAAAAAAGAGAGCAAGGCGAGCACCGAACAGAGAGCCCCGCCCTCTCCCCCTCTCCCCCTCTCCCACTCGTGTCCCCCCAATCTCTCCTCTAAAGCGAGGCCAAGCTGTCGCCACCTCGGGCCGTTCTCATGGGCAACTTCTGCGTTTTGAAAAAGCATAAGGCGCGTCTTGCGGCCAGGCTGCAAGAAGCGGTACGGGTCCTCAGGCTTCTCCTGCGCTCTGTACTTGAAGCGCTTCTCTCAATGCTCTCGATATCTCTCGATGCCCTCAAGGTGAGCCAAGGCATTGGAAGGGGGGCGTTGTCGCGGCATGTGCCGGTATTGCGTTGCACTGAACGTCGCTCACGGGATTCTCGTCGCTCTCTCCTTCTCAGCAAGCTTGAGGATCAGGGGCCAACCCCCTCTCTCTCTCCTTATTATCCATCTCTGCTTCGTTCGTCTTCTTCTGCTGCTTTTGCCTCTCCTTATGTCCTTAAGTCCCCACCCCCAGTGCACAGTTGTCAGACTCAACCACCCCACAAACCTCACAGAACCCCGGGAGCGCCCTGCCCCAAAAATATCCGTAGAGCACGCCTGGAGAGAATCTCTGGAGTACCTCACCCAGAGAATCCCTACGAGTATCCCCAGAAAATCCTGGAGTGCCCAGCACCAGAGTATCCTCAAGAATCCCTGACAGGTGCTTCCAGCGAGTGCCGAACCCCAGAGTTAGCCCGCAAATTCCTTACCTGCAGGGTAGGGATGAAACCAGTGCACCATAGTGCACCCTACGCGTAGGAGCACACTCACCGACGTGTGCCGGAAGCAGAAAGCCGGTCAGGGGCTTACGTGGATTGTGGCATAAACGACACTTCTCATGATATCGCGCATGGTTCCTGGATGCCCAAGCACAGAAATCCAATGACTTGCGTGACCAGAATAGGCGCATCTACAGCACGTTTATGATCTGTCTAGAAAATGCAGCATACGGTGTACAGAACAGTGACACAAGAGAGCGTATATTCAGATATCGTGGATGTTGAGGTCGTCGATTGACAACTCGAGCAAGCAGCCAACGTGCACATGTCAGAGTGTCTTCGCATGTTGACCAGAGCTGCGCACTCACTGCAGCAACGCTTTGGACTGCTGCTAGCTTACCGCAAACTTCGGAGCAAGAGGTCGCGGGAGCACTGTGTGCTTGCGCACTGTGCCATGAGCCATGGATCAAGAGATCGACTTCAAGATCTAAGTCCACCACGTGCGTTCCGTTCTCTGAGGGGTCGTGGGCCAAGTCAGCTTGTTGCGTCCACACAGCAGGGAGGGGGACATAATCGTACGGCTCTGAACTGAGGCGATTTTTGGCGGCTGCACGCCGAGCTACGTCACTGTCGAGCTCCGCCCCTCTAGGTTCAAGTCCACATTGCACATCCGGGACGGCCCATTGATGGGAGCGTATGAGGGAGAATCGTGTGGGAAGAGCAGGCCAGCGCTTGTCGCAAGCTCTATGAGAGCAGCAGCTTTGAGATACCACAGTCGAAGCGACAGCAGACTGATCTCGCCAAGCAAGAGAAGACGCGCCGGCTGGGGCGACTTCTGGCGTGCGGAGAGCTGCAGGCCTGCTTGATGGGGACTGGCAAGCAGGGCGCCAGCAACATCTTGCAATTTCTTGGGACTGAAATGCGGTTGGTGAGTGTGCAAGGAGCGCAAGCTGGCCGACTGCGAAAACTGCGGCAGCTAATCCTTGTTGCAGGCTGATGTAGGATGTTCAGTCCGGGGAGATGCAACAAGCCTCATGCTTCGATTTCTACAGTGCACGAGCAGCGCACGCTGCTAAGGTGTGTCTTCACCGCGCAACGTTGCGGAAGCTCCCAGAGAACCACGGATGCGGATTCAAAACAGCAGATGGCAGATGCGCTTGCTCTGCCAATCTTGTTGCGCAGCTCAAGTGCTTCTTGGACTGGCGGGGAGCGATCCTTGCTTTTCTGGAAGCCGAGCCAGGTAAAAATAGGTAATCAGTCAACGTTTCACACTCCGCACTGACCCGTGTTTGGGCATGGACTGCTTAGATTCCATGGAGGCTGGCCGCATTCTGCATGCAGCAGCAACATACATGGGCGTGTCGTTTACGCCACAGGGAAATGATCCACCCCCCCCTCCAAACCCACGACAAAGATGGTTCGAAGTGAAATATTCTTCTGCTCGTTCATCTACTCAATTAATGATACTCATGTTGCCTAATTTGTTCGCTGCTCTGTTTGTGTGTATGTATGTGTCTGTATTTACACATGAAATTCGTCATTTCGTATTATGTAGTTCTTCATTTCGATGTTTCTGTCGTTCTGTCTTTCTGTCGTTCTTTTTATTGTTGTTTGTTTTCAATATTTCTGGCTGGCGGCTTTTCTTTATTGTCATTATTTCATTGTGTCTGTGTTTCGCAGTCTTTATTCGTTACTTTGGTGTCTGCTGCAGTGTCCTTGCAGACTGCCTCCAGGAGGCCCTGCAGATAGGAGAGCAGGGCATGCCTTTCCAGGTACCTGTGCAAGGGAAAACGAAAACGAAACACGACCAAAGCACAACAAAGCAAAGAAAAAAGGACAAGCGAAAGAGAGACTGCCACTCTGCCCACAGGAGATGGAAGAAGACAAGATACGGTTGGTCGATGGGAACATGAGACAACATGTCTAAGAGAGCCAAGAGGTATAAGCAGCCCCATGCAGAACAGATAGAAAAAGAAGCACCCTCTGCATCTCGAAAACTGCAAAAATGTTCCGCGTTGTTGGAATATGCTGTAATGGTGTAGGCGCACTCTTTGGCACTGGCCGCTGCAGCCGCTGCATCTTGCCTACCAAGGCAAAACCAATGCAAAACCACAAGGAAGTCAAAAACACTGCACACACAGAACCCATGCAACACACACACACACACACACACACAGAGACACAGAGACGAAAGCACAGGGGGGGGGGGGGCCTCGCTCCGATCTCGGGCTTCCAAGTCTCCGCGCCTCTCCGCAGAGAAGGAAAGAGGAGCGAACCAAAGAAGAGAACACGGCGAGATAAGCATGCAAAGTTGCACAGGATATGGGAGTCATAGGATTGGCAACAGAAACTGGCAGTCCGAGGACGAGGGTCCATCGTAGCACAGAAGAAGTCTTCCCTCCCCTCTTTCTATTCCATGCTTCTCCATCCCTCATTCCCACATCCTTCCCCTTCTATTCTTGCCCTCTCCAAGCGCGCGGCCCGGGTCGTGCTCGCCGCTTTCCGTGCTCTCCGAGCTCTCCGAGCGGCTGGCCGGGCTCACAGTGAGCACAAGCCGACCTCTTCGCAAGCTGCGCTCAGCTGCGCTCAGCTGCGCTCAGCTGCGCTCAGCTGCGCTTCTTTCCCGGACAAAAAATTCCCTGGTGAAAAGCTCCACCGGCTTCACGCTAGTTCAGACAAGTTCAGCATGTGTGTGTGTGTGCACTGAGCATGTGCCAGCACATTCCAGTGCTGCAAGTCAAAGGCCTTACTGGACTTTCTGGTTACTGGGAATGTGGCATGTTGTAGCAAGTTTAGCAACTTGCACGGATTGCTGAGACGATGCCGTTGTCACATGTGTCTTTATAACCGGGGTGACAGAGCCCTCGCTCTTCAAGTCCGCTGCCTGCTTCGAAGTCGGCGCGGTAAGTTCCCTGCCCGACGGGCTTTGTGTGCTGCTTTGAGTGCTGCAAGCCCAAAAGTGGCCCATTTTGCTCGGTCCTCAGTGGAGCACACCACCACGTCGCTGCCCACCTCGGCGAGAGTAGTAGTGTGGAGCATAGAGTATAGTGTTGCGACGCAAGCGCACCAATGCCAAACAGGGCATTCTCCAGCCTGCTGTAGCAAATCCAGCTTGACGGTCGTCCCTGCATTTAGGTGCTCAGGAAACCTGCAGCGCGGCTGTCAAGCTCCAGGCGACTCTATACGAGACTTTGAACTTTCCAGCCTGAGCGGACGCTGCTGTAGTGCGGCCAGGGTCGCCTTCCGTCCCGCCAACCCTGCCAACCCTGCCAACCCCTTGAGGAAAGGCGGAGAAGGCGATAAGGCGCAAACAGCCTGGCCTGGCGCCGGAGGTGGCCCACGCGCACCGACAGCAAGAGCTCCGGCGAGAGCACACCGGCGTCCACACACACCTGGCAAGGTGTGCACCGATGCCGAAGCTGCACACATTGGGAAAATCGCAGGCACTAGCCGGGGATCCTTAAGGCAGCGTGGCCTGCATTGTCGGCCACCCATGAGAGCTGTCCACAGGATGAGAAGGTGTTTATAGCCAGGCCAAGGGGTGGGAAGGCTGTGAGATATGTCAGATATGTGCCATTCTTGGCCCTTCCTTGGATGGTTGCAGGTTCCTCCATGCGTTGCACCTATCTCTTCTGTGCGGACGACCGCGTAAAATTGGACCGCCACTGGAAACGTCCGACAGTCGCAGTCTGCTGAAGCCAACACTGATAATGCACATACCTTGCATAACTTCACAGGCTTCACCTTGCCAGCTTTAAGTTGAGGTACTTTGCACGCAGGCCTTTGGATTGTTTGGAGGCTGCACCTATGAAAGAGCTCGCATAGGGCACAGGGGCGTTCGCTCTCATGCAAGGACACTCAAAATGACTCAGCATGGCATCTCAGCTGAACGTCCGACTTTTTCACGAAAACTCTGACATTGTCAAACGTCAAACTTTGTGTCGGGCTTCTGCCCTTTAGGCAGCTCGAGGCCGGACTTGTGGGCCTTGCCCTGCCCGGCGTCGAACGCGCAAGCTGTTCAAGTATTTCAAGTATGTCTTGTGTTTCAAGTGTTGCAAGTGCTTCAAGCATTTCAAGTGCCAAGCGTACGAACTACAAATTTATTTATGATACCAGTATGTTTCAAGCAAACATGCAATGTGGCTGTTTTGCCTGGACGTTGCCGTGTCGTTCCAGCTTTCGCGTTCTGACGCGAAGGCCCCGATGGGAGTCACTTCGTGGGCAGATCTCTGCACTCGGAGCTGACTTTGCTCCCGGAAGCTCGTGTCCCTAGAGGACCGGAGGCGTAAACCATCCTCCACGTGGGACCGGTACGTCACTTTGAGTCGCTTTGAGCATGCCATTTCTAATCTGTGTCTAACTTTCAGAAAAGCCGTGCTCTTCCAGTTGCTGCGTCCGATCCCTCTCGCACTTGGCGCTCCCAGGCGAGGAATTCGGGAACCATCTCAGTATCCCTCTCCTGGGAATCGAAAAAATAGCAAAGCAAAGCAAAGCACAGATCTCCCTTTTGCGTAGGCCCCTTTAGGGCACGCGCACCTGTGTGACAGGATTGGAAGCATTGGAAGCTGTGGCGCCTTCCGTTCGTGTACTTTGTTCTCATGGCTAGCTTGGCTAGTTCTCACCGTCACAACGTCTGGAAACACTGGGAAACATAACAAGGGGAAGAGGCGTCACGGCTCTCAAGTCAGCCATTCACGTGTCAGCGTCGGCCTTGGAACAAGCCGATATCCGATATCCGGCCAAATGCCAGGAGCGAAAAGCACAAAACATCCAAGCACAGAGAAGCGGCCACAAGTGAGGTCAAAAGCTTCTGCACTCTTTTCTTGCACTCTTTCTTGGATCCCCTCTCTTGAACTGTCCCTCACCTCTTCTGTTTTCTTTCTAAACGACGCAGCAAACAAAACGAAGCAAACTGCACTTCGGGCCCGGGCCGATGTAGCCTGGGGCCACAGCGGGGCCTCGGCTCTTAGGGGGCTCGCTTTCAGTCAGTGGCCTGAGTACAAAACCACACATTCTTCTTTTGGGGGGCTGCGAAAGCGAGAGAGAGAGAGAGAGAGAGAGAAAGAGAGAAAAAGAGAGAAAGAGAGAGAGAGAGAAAGAGAGAAAGAGAGGAAGAGAGGAAGAGAGAAAGAGAGAAAGAGAGAAAGAGAGAAAGAGAGAAAGAGAGAGAGGGAGAGAGGAGAGAGGAGCTCCTGGGGCATGCGGCCGCGGCCACTGCAGCCGTAGCGGAAGCTCTCTCGCATCGTCCTGACTGAACTTCTTTGGCGCGTCGTGGAGGTGTGGATCACATGCAAGAGCGCCTGATCTGCCCTGGAAGCCGATCGGACAGGAAGGCCAAAATCTGCCAGTCACGTGTAGATTGGCACTACAAAGGACAAACCAACGAAGGCACTGGCGCACTTTGGCACTTTGCACAATAACTGACAACATCTGACAAGAAGTTCTGGCAGCCTCCCCCCCCCAACATCTCTTAACCCTTCCCCACCTTCTCATGAGGCTCTGGATACTCGTCACAGTACGGCTCCTGGAGATGTTGCATGCTGCAGGAGAGCCGCACTTGGCACGCACCACGTGCGAGAGAAACTGTGAAGCTTTGCCGTTTGCGCCACTTCGCCTCGGTATAGGCCTGGATCGCAATCCGCCCCATGGCATCAACAAAGGCCTGGCCAAAGGCGCATGCAACACCCACTCTCTTCTTCTAAAGGGCGCCCACACTCTGGAAGTCTTGTTGTGGCGTATCCCGAGGTCGACGCAGACAGTGTCGGACGGCGCACAGCTTCATGAGAGCAGGCGCTGTTGTTTGTCTTCACAAGGGCCTTCAGCCCTGCTCTGTCCTTCCTTCGGGTCGTGCCGACTGGCCTCAAAGCTGCGCAGCTCCAAATTTGAGGAGCCCTCACAGGCGCGGCACCTCTCTGAGACGCTCACAGAGCAGAGAGGACCCCTCTCCAAGATTCTCATGGTCCATGGGCGCCCTGGTGAAACGCTTAAATCTGCCCGGAGGGGGGCGGACAGAGGACGGCCCGGGAGCCTGGTGTCATCTGGTGTCTCTGTCATTACAGAGCACGGCGATGGCAATGCGGGCTGCGCAATTTCATCCCCCCAAGGGGGTCACCTCATTCTGACTCGATCTTTCTCATCTCAGTCTCAATCTAACAGCAGTCTCAATATGTCTCACGTCGCACTTCAGCGGTCATAGCACTACAACACGAAGCAAGGACCAAACGAAGCCACGCGGTGAGGTGGAATTGGTGCTGCATGGAAAAGCTTAAAAAAGCTGAAGCTCAGTAAGCTAAGTTGGCTACCGGCGCATGGACTTAATTCAAAGACATGCGCCTCCAACGCAGCAGCCTGGTCGAACCAGAAAGCTTTGGACGTTTGAGATCCGCATCTTAGTGGCTCTTTCTGCAGTGTCTCGTTGGTTCGGGGTCTCGTTGGTTCATGGCTCTGTATCAAATAGAGTGAGAGCGCGCTACAGTGGTCCGAGAAAGGCGAAATTCGCAGAGACATTTGCAGAGCTTCTGAAGCACACACATAGAAAATGATAGCTCTAGCTCTACGTCACCGTAGTTCACTTGCCTCAGGCTGGGCAGTACTCAGCAGTAGCTGCAGAACAGCTGCACCAGCTCAGAAGTTCTCAGAAGCCCTGTGCTCTCAGTCGTAGCACAGGATCTCGACCGTAAATCCCGTAGACGCGTTCTCCATGAGTTTCAGCAGCTCGGCACCGGAACCCTTCTTTCCATCCACCGTCCTATAAGTCAGGAATGTGTGTCATGCAGAGCTGTCAGAGCTCTCACACAGAGAGCTGTCACACGCACGCATACACACACACACACACACACACACACATAAAAAAAACAAAAAAATCAAACAAAGCTCTCGGATTTGATTGCTCACAAGGATTCCTAGCAGCCTCGCGCCATTTTGCTGCCGAGGCACACGATCCTGCTCGGCACCTTGATGACCTGGTCCGATGCGGCCGCAAGGTTGTGGTCGTTGACCGTGCCCTCGGCGATCCGCGTGACCTTAGCAAAGGCGTGGCAAGACGGCAAGGGCTGCCCCTAGGACGGCCTCCGCAGTGCTCCAACATGCTCTATCACAACTCGAACGGAGCCAACAGGGTCGGGCGGCGAGGAGAAAGCTCTGCCCATCGATGACGCCCAGGCCAAGGTCCTTGCCACTCTTCGAAACTGTCACCTCGTCCACGACACGCACCAGAGTTCGTTCAAATGTAGTAGGAAACTGAAGAAAGGAAGGTGAGAACACTAATGATGACCCTAAGCCTGAGACTCAAAAACCTACACGCTGGCTTTGGATTCTTTCAACACGCTCATCGGGCAGCAATTCAAAATCATGAGGTCCCCTCCCACGTCCTCCCATCCCAACGCAAAGCGCGCCTGCTGCACAACGGGACGCTGCACGGTGATGGTCACGGGGCCTCTCCAGCATTTCTTTTTTAAGAACACCATATCATTATCTGGTAGAACTGAACGGTGTGTGTTGACGTCCTTTTGTACAGTTTGTAGAAAGAAAAAGCTGGGGCAAGCCAGGGCATGAAAAACTCTGTAGCATTCCGAGCACCAAGGGGAGCAACACAATCAACGGCAGATACTGACGAAAGGTCGTCAATCCAAGGTGCAATGAATGACAGTGGAGGGCACACATCACTTGCAAGTGACCTCAAGCCCGACCTAACCAGAAATGACGAACAAAAAAACAGCCTTTAAAAAAACAGCAAATTTAATGCTGAGCCGGTGTCCATCCCTTCTTGGGTCGGCCCCTGTTCCTGCGTCAATCTTGCCGTCCCGTCCCCTTACATTCCTCCGCCAACACAGTGGCTCTCCTTCGCTGGTGACTTACTGCCTTCGATCCGGTGATGCCAGTACATGCTTTGCACGGAGCCACCAGGCTGTCCGCATTTTTGTGCGATTGGCGTGCTAATCGTGGCGTGGTTCCAAATACACCGCATACTACAAACAATGCACAGATCGGCCGTCCTACTTTTATACGTCTATGTAGATATGTCGATACACTATATTATATGCACGTCTCGGTCAGCAAAGACTGATAGTGCAGTCCAAAATCGTAAACCTTGCCACCAGATTGCAGCACTTCAGCCTTCGTCTTTCTCATGCCTTGCTGGCATCATCTATTGCTGAATATCCGGGCAGGAGTCAGTCCATCAGCTTCATGAGCCTTCCAGGATTGTTCTGTCATTCAATTTTTACAGTGTCTTTCTAACGCACCTCCAGTGCACTGTGGACTTTAGACGAACGAGAAGATTTGTGGGTGGCAGATTGAGGCATGGAGAACAGCCACAAGGGGTACTTCGAGCAGCGCTGAAGTCATTGGACTTGAGGACCACTGCTTCTGTAAAGCAGACAGCGGAGTGTAGACCATCCTAGATCGTCAGAGCTGCGGTGTCGACACATGGATGCCAGGGGCGAGATGCGCTTTACGCCGCTATACGCGCGACAGTTCCCCCGGTGCCCATCAAAAGATGCTGAAGATGTTTTTGCTGGCGGTGCGCCGCGCAGCCCATCGAAGCCCCGAGGATCTTAGCATGCTCACCACCAGTGAAAGCTGCCACCGTGGTGAATTTACATACGAAGGGCGCCTGCAGACTGGACCGATTCGCTTCCCCGAAGATGACACGGCCCACCGCGCGGCCCAGATCCGCGCAGATGCGCGGGGTCACTGAGAGATTCACACAAAAACACGCGCGCACGCGTACTGCGCACCCCCAACTTGAAAGGCAACGTCGGCATCGTTGCATAATGAAACCAGGCCGCTTGCCGGGCGCAACCCAACGGCGTGAAGCAGCATCCCGTAAGAGAAGATCAGAGAAGAAGAAAGGGCAAACAATGTCGCAGCGTCGTGGCGCGAAGACGGACCCACCATACCTCAGAGCAGTGGTGAAAGTCATCATACCGATGATTCTTCGGTGAGGCCCAAACTGCAGGGCAGGGCACCCTCCGCGACAAGAATGAAAGAGTCGGTTCGATTGCGAGCTCCGAAAAGAACAGCGTGACAGCACTGACGCTGCAGCCTTGGTGGGCAGGAAGCCCTTACACCCCTTGCGATGCTGAGGTTCGTCTGGCGCAATGCCAAGCACCCTGCCAAGGCATGGAGCTCGGGGAGGCACTTCACTGTTTCATAAGTTTCATAAGTTTCATCCGACTTCGCGAACTTGAGTTCGCAATTCTCTGACCCCTACCTGGCTGAATAGGACTCTGTGGCTCCGCCAACTGATGCTGGTGGCGAAAATGATTTGGATCTTGTTCGGTTCTGGCTTGTGCAGCGAACTTCCGGGCTTCAGACCCCCGCTGAAGAGCATGTCCGGGCAAACTTGGTGAATCTATGGAACCCATGAAATTTGTGGTTGCGATCTTCGTGCATTTGAGTTGGCTGGACAACGACTTGGATTGCACGTCAATGCCAAGCGGTGTTGTTGAACAGCTTAACACATCAGCGACTGGCAGGCTTGGGGTCGGATAACTTTGTGCGAAACTTCCGTCTGAAGGCTGATGGGGCAAGCGGAACCACAGCACCTCCCCTTGAAGACGAAGCGGCGTGTCATTTGACTTGACTACTGCTCCTAGGAGATCCTGCAAGAACCCCCACGAAGAGCCCCACATTGCTTTCATTACGGCTCTGGACATTTGCTCATATTTGCTCTCTGAGGCGTGGTTCCGTTGTGGAATGTGGTGGATGAACAGCAATGCTCTCCGATCAGAAAGATGACTGTTTCTCAACATGTGCACCCCACGAAGCTATGTGCGATTTGCGGAAGTGCAAGGATTCCTTACAAACATTACACGTATTCCTTCTGTCTTGCAAGCCGAAGGTGTGTCAGACACCTCCTCTAGAAGAATGCAAGATTGTCGCTAGGAGGCAACCCCGTGTCACGCGTCTACCTGGCTGAAGTAGCGAAGGGCCCTTGAAAGTTCTTGTCCAACAACACAAGCAAGCATGAGCGAACCGAAAGAAGAATTCTCCAGGCTGAAAAAACAATTTCATCTGCTTTGGTACTGAGTGAGTCAAATCAACCTGCAAGCTTTTCTGTTCGCTCAAGCACTCAGCATTGTACTCATAGGAACACAGTAACGGCGGGGAGAATTTCCAGTGGCTTGACTGACAGGTGTCCAAGTAGGACCTGGAACCGCTCGCGGGGCCCTAAACCCTAAATCCTAAACCCTGAACCCTGACATGATCCTGACATCATGATTTTGAAGGTTAGGAGGATCAAGATGATGACTCCATGAATTCCATGGGCCTGGTTTACTTGCTTGCTCATGCATATATATATATATATATATATGTTGGTTTGTTGGTTTTTGTTAGTTTCTTGTTTTGTTGTTTTTTGCCTTGATCTGGCTAAGACTCGGCTGCCATCCGCGGTGGGTCCATTGGGGGGGGGTGAGCATATATATATATACATACAGACATACATACATATATATAAATACATAGAAATACATATAAATACATACAAACATATATATATATATATCCGCCGACCCCAGCCGGGGGCGGCGGAGCGGGTGCGGCACCTGAGGCATCACGCAGCATCTCCAGCATCTCTTTCCCTGCCGAGAAGAAGGAGGATGTTCTTCAAATGAACGAAGCCATGGGAACCCTTTCAACCGCCTTGTGGCGCGGAAAAAAAAGCAAAGTTCATTCCTCGGCCTTTGGATGGCCGCTTATCATTGAAGGCCATCAAGCGGTCATATTGTCGAATCCGATGCTCCTTAGAGGCTCAAGCTGCGAATATCTGAAAAAGTAAAGTGGTTTCAGGCGGCCTGTCGGCCCAGTGAATCTACAGCAGCTTTCATTCCGCAGAGCCCATAGCCTCCCCACGGCTCCCCCAAGGCTCCCCAAACTCACCCCCCCCCCCCCTGCAGCTCGCTCCCTGCAAGGCCAGGGTTCAGGGTTGCACTGGTTGTTCCAATCCCCCACGAGGCTGCCTGCCTGCACGGCATTCACCATGCAAACCTGGCGGCACACCGCTTTGTGGGAGGTTGGGGGCGGGGTCCGAATTCACAACATTTTGTTGGCCTTAAGTGTTACTGCTCATTAGTTGCATGCCGCTGAGTGGCTTTTCCGGCCGCAGAGATGTCTACGCCTGGGACCACCAAGACAGTCCAACAGCCAAAACCAATCTTTTGCACAGAAAAGCACGCAAAGCAAAAAGGAACGTCAAAAGCGTACGTATGCACTTGAAGCACATGTAGGGGGAACCAAATGCAGTGCGCTTAGCTCCCTCTGGGCTCGTGGCCAAAGCTCGTGCCCGGTGATCGCACCACGTCAACGCTGAATGTAAAGCACTCCTCCTCAGAAGAGAGTACACACTTTGGGGGGTCATATGGGGACTTCGGGCTTTGTTGTCGATGGCTTTAGAGCCTCTTTAAATTTAAAGTTAAGTCAAAGCTATTCTGACGTCTCTTCTCACATCCTTGGGTGGGCGGGATCCGATGGTCAGCTCTTGCGCGACCGATGATGAACGGGCAGGCAGTACCTCCCAGGAGAAACATGTTTCAAACAAAACTCAACACATCTCAAAGACACGAAACAACAAGTCCTGAAATAGCACCTACTGACACTCAAAAGCAATCCTCGTCCGAAGTGACCAGCTTGGCCGGAGGGATCTCCTTGTCATCCTTACGGGCGCAGCCACATGCACACACTCCACACAGACACACACAGACACAGAGACAGACACACACTCCCCCTCTCTCTCAATCTCTCTCGCTCGCTCTCTCGTTCTTTCTTGGGGGCATGGGGGCAGGCCCCCTGGCTTCGCGCCAGCCAAGGTATTCGGGACCCTCGGTTTTGCTCGGAGGCTCTGTGTCTCTTTCTCTCTCTCCGGGTGCTCTCGACTCTACGCGTTTTAAAGAGCTGTCTCACTCAGGAAGCGTGAGAAAATGCCAGGTGCTCTGGAAGCTGGCCGAGGCTCTGCTGACGAGTCCACACAGCAGATGAACATCCCGGGGAACCTTGGAAGACAAAATGGACAAACAAAAGCCCCCAAAAGACTGGGAGAAGGGATTGCGGGGCATCCCGAAAAGCCATTCGAGTCTCCTGCTCAGGCTCAGGCAGCGGAGGCTCAATTGGCAGGAAGACAAAACTAGTCAAAATGCATTTGAAGCTGAACTCTGCAGAGCTCTGAAAATTGGGCATGAAGCTTAGGCAGGGTCCAAAGGCAGCTTCCCACAAAAACACCCTCCAGCTTTCCTAGAAGCTCCTGCCCTGCCTCCTGTGACAAGTATCCAAAGTTGCTGCCACCATGCGCGCTTGCGGAGCCCGCACACCTGAGAAGTCACTCCATAAGCTGTGATCAGATCGACCTTCGCAGAAACGACAAAAGAAGGCCGCACAAAATACGGCTGCCAGGGCACTGAGCTCTCTTGAAGATCCGTACCACAGCTTGTCTGCTGACCAAATCCGGCATGATCTGGCGCAGTGAGAAGCAACAAGCCGAAGCACAGAAGCGCAGCTGTATACAGCTCCACAGCATGCCATCACGGGCCGGGTCCTTGAGTTCCTTACAAAGCGAAAAAAGCTGCCTCAGCAATCCAAGGTGCCCGCGTCACGATGTGCAAGAGAGTGCATCTCAGAACGCAGTCTTCGACCCTCGGCACCCCCTCGGGCATCCAAGTGGCTCCAATGACATGAAGCTCCGTCGATTCCTGGCATTTCTCGAATCTTTCGTGCCCGTGGAAAGTCTGGGCTATGGGCTAGGCACCCCCAACCCCATCCCCTCCTCATCGTGGGACTTCCGCAGGCATAGGTGTATGGGTCCTGCAAGGGCTCTTATTTTAGCACCGAGCAGCATGATGGAGCCTGGCCAGGCCACCCTGGTACTGGGCACCCTGCCGTGGCCGCCGGGCTCCACTTCCCCGCACGGCTGCTCATGGTCGACCTCCGGCTGTCCTGGCAAAGCCACAGCCCACTGGCGCACGACCGAAAGGTGATACTCACAACTTGTCACAACTTGTCACAACTTGTCGCAACTGGTCACAACTGGTCACAACTGGTCACAACCCCGCAGGTGGGGCAGGACTCATGGGGCTGCAGAGGCCCTTGTGCTCGGCCCAAGCCTGCCAGCGGAGCAGACCAGCAATATCCCAGGTCCCCAAAGTTGGCAGCGCATGCAGTGCATGCAGCGCCAATGGTGATCCGCAGACTCTTAACCAGGGCGCACCAGCAGGGACTGCCCGGAGGCAGAGCCCATCGACTTCGGGCCTCGGTGTCAAAACGCTCCCCCGCGCCGACCGAACACACCCAAGGTGGAACCCAAGGCAGGCATCCTCTAGCAACACATCGTAGGGTGTGTGCATCAATTGGCCTTGCAATCGGCCTCTTGTCTACGCTGTGCCTGGAATATCTTGATCAGGTCCAACTGCAAACCGTCAATGTTGGTGCATCCTTTTCTTGGAAGAATAGCCAAGCTATCCTCGTTTCTGAACACTCCTTGCTCTCATTTACTGCTCTCCGGACATCTTCCCTTGTGATCGTCTAGTAGTATGGCTTGCGCGCCTTTTGGACAACATTCTGCTCAGCCTCGCTTGGCTTATTGGTTTTGGTTTTTACTCGTGCGCTGCTCTCTTCTTCTTTCCTCAGCGAGTCTTTGCCAAGCTTCTTCCGATTATTCAATGGAATCACACCTTCTCACGTACTCTCACCCATGTGGAGTCGGATCTGACGGGGCAACACACGTCTCTCAGTCCACATCATCCGGCTTTCGCCCCCTTTTTGCACACAAGAAAACATCTTCAACATCGCTTCGTTTTAAGTCTTCCTCGGCTTTCCGGTCACGCTTAGCGTCTCCCTGGGCTTTTGTTTCTCTCGAACCGAGGCCAGGGCTCAGGAAGCCGCTCCCTTGGCCTCACTCTCAAGCCAAGTCGGAGAGTGGAGAGACTGAGGAGACTGAGGAGGACCGAGTAAAAAGAGAGACGAGAGATACGAGCAGTGAGAAAGAGATAGAGAAAATAATCCCAGCTGGTATCCCCAACAGCAGCAGAACACGCAAAGGCAAGCGCACGCTCCGAATCCAATAGCAGCTAGAGGTTGTAACAGGCCTGCGCAGACTCCTTGAGGGCGCACTCTTTCGGGTTTTTTTCATGGGTACTTGATGCGCATGGGGCCTTGCCATGTGAACTCGCGACAAAACAGGGCGTGACGCACAGGCTGGGGCCTTGCCAATATGGACTCGCGACAAACACAGGGCGTGACATACAGGCTTGGGGCCTTGCCACGTGAACTCACGAAAAACCACAGGGTGTGAAACACAGGCTGGGGTTCACACGTCCATGAAAATATTTCTATTTATTAAAAGCATGAATGTAGCAAACACATGAAGGAAAAAGGAAATAATAATAGTAATAGTAATATTGTATAAGCCCCGTAATCTACTTCTTTCATAACAGGGCAGTAAAATACACTTCTTTACACCCGCGCATACAAGAACTTATATTGCGCGGGTAAGTAGTGATAAAGGTGTCATAGCGGGCGAACAAAAGGAAGACGAAACGCCCGCACTTCGTTCGTTCACTCGTTCATTCACTCACTCACTCACTCACTCGCAAGCACAATGTTATACTAATCTTGCAAGCTCGCACACGAAGACAAAAAAAATGTGCAAGCCAGTGGAAGCGAGCACAGAGACCTTCATCGCGACCAACACAGGTTGGGGCCTTGCCATTTGAACTCACGAAAAACACAGGGCGTCACATACAGGTGGGGGCCTTGCCACGTGAACTCACGAAAAACATAAGGCGCGACATACAGACTGGAGCCTTGCCATGTGAACTTGCGACAAACACAGGGCGCGGGCTAAGGCCTTGCCATTATGTGAACTCACGACAAGCACAGGGCGTGACATACAGGCTGGCGCCTTTGCCATGTGAACTCACGACAAACACAGGGCGTGACATGCAGGCTGGGGCCTTGCCATGTGAACTCACGACAAACACAGGGCGTGACATACAGGCTGGGGCCTTGCCATGTGACCTCACGAAAAACACAGGGCGTGACATACAGGCTGGAGTCTTGCCATGTGAACTCGCTAAAAAGACACAAGGTGACATACAGACTGACGTCTTGCCATGTGAAAGAAACAGGGCGTGACATACAAGCTGGCATCTTGCCATGTGAACTCATGAAAAACACAGCGCGTGACATACAGGCTGGGGTCTTGCCATGTGAACTCACAAAAAAGACACAGGGCGTGACATACAGGCTGGGGCCTTGCTCTTGCCATGTGAACTCGCAAAAACACAGGGCGTGACACACAGGCTGGCGTCTTGCCATGCGAACGCAATAAACCGCAGGGCGTGACACACAGGCGGGGGCCGTTGACAGTTGGACGTTCTACAATAAACAGTTGCTCTTGGGAAACATGTCCTTAAGAAACAACATAATGTTTCACTACTTGGAGTACGTGTATGCTTGGGAACTATCTTGACAAAGAGAACAGGATTTCGAGCCAGAGATCCCATTGATTTGTTAAACAAGAATGATTTGCGTGCGAGAACGACTTTTGGGAGCACGGCCACGAAAAACACAAACGGCTCGCAAAACTTGAAGATTAGCAGAAATCTGCAAAAGTCGCCACAAACAGCAAAAACATAGCAAAATGCAACAAATACACTCGCGGCCGCCGGGGACCAACCTGATCTGTCCACGTGCGGCAGCGGGGCCCGAGGAGAATCGGGGAGGTGGTTTTGATAAGAAAAGCAAGCAGCAGAATCGGGGAGAATCGGGGGAACTTCTGGGGTCGGGGCCGCACAGTGCCGCGGCAGGGCTTTCAAGGCAAAAAAATGCGGCGCCCGTGACGCGTTTGAAATTCCAGCACTGTTGCATGGTTTTCGCGACGCAGAGGATTTTTCTCGCAAATTGGTGAATTTGCCTGCGAGCCGATGAGCAAGCAAGACCTGTACCATCTGTGCCAAACTAGGCGCGCAGCAGCGCAAAAACAAAATTTGGAAGCAAACGAGTATCGACATTGGCGTTTGTTTGGTCTACGCCGCATCTACGCAAAACAACCATGTCTAGACGTGTGAAATTCGGTGTTAAATGGTTTTGACTGGTCTTGCTCCATAGACTTCATAATAGCAACCATTGTTTTGTAGAACGTCTTACAGTCGAAGGGCCGCCTTGCAAAAGACGCAGAGCATGACACACAGGCTGGGCCTTGCCATGTGATCTCACGAGAAACACATGGCGTGACATACAGGCTGGGGCCTTGCCTCACGAGAAACACAGGACGTGACATACAGGCTGGGGTCTTGCCATGTGAAGTCACCAAAAACAGAGGGCGCGACATACAGACTGGTGTCGGAGGGCGCGACATACAGACTGGTGTCGCGCCATGTGAACAACTTGGCGTGACATACAGGCTGGCATCTTGCCATGTGAACTCATAAAAAAAAAACATAGCGCGTGACATACAGCCTGGGGTCTTGCGTCTTGCCATGTCAAATGTGAATTCACGAAAAGAGACACAGGGCGTGACATACTGGCTGGGGTCTTGCCATGTGAACTCAGAAAAAAACACAGGGCGTGCCATACAGGCTGGGGTCTTGCCGAACTCACGAAAAAACACAGCCCCGTGACATACAGGCTGGGGCTTTGCCATGTGAACTCACGAGAAACACTGGGCGTGACATACAGGTGGGGGCCTTGCCATGTGAACTCACGAAAAGCACTGTCCGTGACACGCAGGCTGGGTCCTTGCCATGTGAGCTCACGAAAAACACAGGGTGTGACAGACTGGCATCCTGTTATGTGAACTCACGAAAAACACGGGGCGTGACATACAGGCTGGGGAGTGTGTGACGTACAGGCTGGGGCCTTGCCATGTAATGTGAACTCATGACAAACACAGACCGTGACATTCAGGCGGGGGCCTTGGTAACCTATTCCACAACCCACTCCAACCTGCTCACACCACTCCAAAACCTAGTCTGGAACCTGCGCTCCGGAACCGGCGCTCCGGAACGCGCCCGGAGCTTGCTCCAAAGCCTCCTCCTGCACACCCGCTCCAGACCCCCCTCCTTAGCGGAACCAACGCTCGCTCCGATCTGCTCCGAAGCTTAAAAGGGCTGAAGACCCCAAAGCTCAAGCTGTTGGGGAAAAAACAGCAGAAAGAGAGCGAACTTTTTGACTCTGAGAGAAGGAGAAAGAAAGGTGTGGTGGGGAGACCGGACAGGACCGGCCGCAGCACAGCGATCGCCGAACAATGCAGCGAGCGAGAAGGGGCAGGAGACTGAAACCAGACGAAAGCGATGCTTGCCTTTGTGTGCAATTCTTGTGAGAGAGGGAGAGAGGGGGAGAAATGAAGTGCAAATTTTGAGAGATGGAGAGAGCGGCAGACAGAGGGAGAGAGAGAGAGAGAGAGAGGAGAAGGAGAGAAAGGTACAGCAGTGACCCGGCCCCCCTTCTGTCACACAAGACAAAGCGACGCAATCCCCCGAAAAAGTGCCCCCCCCCCCCCCCCCCCCCTCCCCCCCCCCTCCCCCCCCCCCCCTCCCCCCCCCTCCCCCCCCCCCCTCCCCCCCCCCCTCCCCCCCCCCTCCCCCCCCCCTCCCCCCCCCCCCCCCCCCCCCCCGGGCCCGCGCGCCTGAGAGGGCACCGGACGGCAGCTGAGGCCGCCTCCGCCGCTCGGGTGAGCCGCGCTCTGGCGAGGCCACTTGGTGAGGCAGCGATGCCTCTTTACACACAAGAAAGGAAGAGAAAAAAAGCAGGACAGAGAGAGAGAGAGAGAGAGGAGAGAGGGTGGAGAGAGGGAGGGAGAGGCGAGAGAATTTCTTTCTTCTGCGATTTGAAATCTGCTCCTTCACCTTCCATTTTTCCCGTCGCGCTTCTGGCCTCAGGGTTGGGATCCAGACCGTCCTGCCACGCTGCCACAGGCGCATATCTTCAAGTCTCACACAGAGCAATGCATTCGCTAATTTGTGGCAATACAACTTAGTGCTTTGAGATCTCGCACAATGGAGAGATCGATCTCTGATGGTCTCTCGAATGCAGGAGCGCCGTGTCTCCGTGTCGCTGACAACGGTCTCCAGAGCCCACATTCATGGCATTCATGGACGTTCCCAGCCTGTTCGACAGGGCTGACGTCCGCCTCTGGGGCCTGGGCCACGAGAAACAATAATGGACAAACGGAACAAAAGAAACAAAACCCCCAAATCTGCAGCAAAGTGGAGAGTGGCACAGGACCCACACCTCAGCAGCCGTTTCGTTGGCCTCGCCATCGACCTCCTGGATGAAATTGCTGGGCAGAATTGAACGACAGTGCGACGACTGCAGCGTGGCAACTGCGTGTGTTGGCCAATTGTGACAGACTTGGCGTCTGCCCCCCCACATTTGGCGTAGCAATGTGGGGCTCGGCCTTCACTGCCGGCAGCCCTGGGCTCATGGCCTCGTCCTGGTGCGCGAGGAGCCGCGACGACGCTTGGTAAGGGACATCTTTCAATCAGAAGTAGCACTGCTCGCGCATTCAGAAAAATCATCAAAGTGGTGAGTTTCGTTGGCTTCTCGCGGGCCCTTGCCTGGTTCTCAGGAGGATCCTCGGCAGAACTACGTTCAAGACTGACAAGGAGTTTGCACAAGTCACTGCAAGGTCCCCGCAGCATCATCCCTGATGGTACCTATGAGCATGTGAATTCGAACTTGTGCTTGGAGAGACTATTTTGGCTCACACCAGCCTCCCAACATGCAAGAGGAAGCTCTGGAGGCAAAGATCGTGTCCTTTTCCCACGAACTATGTGCTCTGTTTTCTCTCTCTGAGAACTGGATGGGAGAGCGAAAAAAAAGAAAAGAACAAAGAGGAGAAAGCCCCTTCTCAGACGGAGAAAACTCACGAAGAAGAGAAGAGGTCTCCTGCGTGTGCTTCCAGATCGAGCGCTCCTTCAGACGCGTCGTGCCTGTGCCAGTCCTGGCAAAAGCGGCAGAAGAAAAGAGAACCGAAAGAGAACCGAAAGAGAAGCGAAAGAGAAGCGAAAGAAAGCGGAGAGCGGCGCAGAGAAGACTCTCGGCGGGTCTCCTGGCATCCATGGGGCTCGGGAGCTGGCGCCTCGCAAAGGAGCCGAAGAGGTCGTGCCTTGCATGCCAGGGTTACAAAGGCCACCTCCCATCCTACCATCAGTCCATGAACGCTCATGTCATACAGAGTCATAAACGTGAAGTGCTCCACTTTTTGCTCGCTTGCTTTGCTCGCTTGGCTGGGCATCCGGAGCTGTGCTGCTGCCGATTCGCCCCAGCCGGCCGCGCCCGCGGCGCCCGCCGCGCCCGTGGCGAATTCGCCGCTTTTCTGGCTGCGCCCGCTTGGGCCTGGAGCTGGGCCTGGGTCCCTCCAAACCCGGGCTCTCCAGCACAGATTCGAGTGATTCGAGTGATTCGAGGGTGAAGCTCTCCGATGAGCTGTCCTGTGGCCATTGTGGCACCAGTAAGCACAGCTTAGGCTCAAGGAACCGTGGGAACACTCCCTAAGCCCAGCAGAACAGGACCCCGCTTCCTCCTCCTCCTCTTCCTCCTCCTCGGCTTCGTCGAGATCGACGATGGCCCGAGGCCTCAACGGCATAACTCATCCAAACTCCCAAGCCGGTCGTCCCTCGGCATCTGAATTTATCTGAATATGGCACAGCGTCAACAGCAGCTCTTGCAGCACCGTACGGATTTCAGGGCAGTTCTTCAGGGTGTCCTGCGCAACATGATTTTCCCATCCACGTCTAGGGGTTGACAAGAGAAGAACTGTGTCAGATGCTCAGTGTTGGCTCCTCCAGTGGGGTGAGCCAGTCCGAGTGCTTTGTAGGCAAGGCGACCAGCTCTTGCCGATCCACACAGCAGATCTCTGGTGGGACCTCAAGGAGGGACGGGAGGCTTCGCATGCTGCAAGCGATTCATTACTGTGACTACATACTGACTACATGCAGTAGTGCAGGATTTTTCGACTTTGCTCCTGCCTTGGCAGTCTCTTGCGGGAACGCGACGAGCAGCTTCTGGTCCAGGGCCTCCAGGCAAAGGCCTGGACGGCCCAAGAGCCGCGCTTGCAAAGCCGGTTGCGAGGCTTGCGAGCTTCCGGTACAGAGGCACAGCGCCCAGTCCCCTACTTGGGCAGGCTGCGTGGGCAAGAACAGCAGCTCACGCCGGTGGCAGTGCAAAAGCTGCTCTCCGGGGCCCAGAACACGCAGCCGCACCTGGGCCTCCCTGTCAGATTCCTTGGGCTCCTTTCCATCAGCCTCGCTGGCCTCGCTGGCCTCGCTGGCCTCGCTGGCTTCGTTTCCTTTGGGCCCCAGGTAAGCTGCGAGCTGCCCAGAGCCTGGGACGAGACAGGGCATCCCAGTGGTAAGCTCGGAGTTCTCCAACCATGCGTCGTCAAAGAGCTCCGCATCCTCCTCGTAGCCGCAGTTTTTGCTTTCCTCGCTTTCTTGCTCGCAGAGCCGTCCGTGCCGGGCCAGCCTTGCGGCCTGCACCTCGGCACACACCAGGACCCGCTCGGAGCTGCGCGAGGGAGCCGAGGGAGCCTTTCTGCAACCTCCGTCGGCTCCCCGTGATCGCTGTGGCACTCGTGGCACGAGTGTCCAATCCTGTGAAAGGAAGCTCCCCACCGCAACTTGGCACTCCGACATCAGATCTCTGCCGAGCTGGTTGCTTTTGATGTGCTCATGTACTCATTTACTGTCACATTCACCTCTGACTCTCTCCAGGGAACATGCTGGAAGATAATGCGAACTCAAGTAGACATGTTAGTGGCTACTACTGGCTACTCACCTGTACCTCCAGGATTCGTGCACATGCCGCATTCACGTGTTATTAAGCCTTTTCGGCTGCGGTGCAAGCAGCGGGCTTCACCTCGCTTTGCCCTTTGCGGGGTTGAATGCGTCAGCTGTCGAAACAGCGCAAGGTGAGCAGGAGGCAGCTTGGGCTTAAAGTGATCCAGCACGAGCAGGACCTTAGCGCATCTGTGATAACCTTTGATTCGGCTGTCCGAGTCATCGCAGGTTCTTGAGGAAGTCTTTGAGCCTCTGACATTGGGATCAAGCGAGAAGTCGGCAGGCTCGTTGGACGTCGACTGCTCCTGAAACTCCTCAAAGGGGTCATATGCCGGTAAACCAGAGACCTCACATGAGCAAGGGAAGCCGAGGCAGAGGAACAGAAGACCTGTTGCTTTCTTGCGTCTGCCTTCCTCCTCTTCTCTTGTTAATCATCCCGCGGGTATGAAGCTCAGGATTCGGGCAAGTCACGCAGCCCTCCCCCACCTATGACCATCCTTCGATCCCACTTTCAGCGTGCGGGAACAACCCTCCTTGCTGCCCCATACTCCATCTCATCACCCCAAAAAGTATGACAATGCCCCAACTAACGACGCTCTAAACCCCTTAGCCTTCTGTTAGCCTGCGTTTTGACTGCTCTCTGCTCACTCTGAACAGTTTCTCCACTCACTTTTCCTTCTGGACTTGAAGGCCGGGGTTGCCCTTGAAACCCCCGCGGGCCGGGCGCGCCGAAATCCTGCGATGTCCACTCCTTTCTTGTCTTTCTGCACTCCCTCCCTTCCAGTGCACTTAGCCCCCGAAGAGGCTGCTTGCAGGGGCGCGCTCCACTCCCTCCCTCCTTCTTCTTCTTTCTTCTTATTCTTCGTCTTCCGTTTTTCCTTATTCTTCTTTCTTCTTCTTCTTCTTCTTCTTCTTCTTCTTCTTCTTCTTCTTCTTCTTCTTCTTCGTCTTCTTCTTCTTCTTCTCCTTCTTCTTCTTCTCCTTCTTCTACGGGGCCTCTCCCTTCTTCTACCCAGCGAAAAGGCCCGAAAGGGGAACCCCGGCCGCGCTGGCCCGGAGGCCCTCTTCTTCTCCTACCGGGCATGGAGGACAGGGCAGAAGTCCCTGAACCTCCGCGCTCTGGGCGCGCCCTTGATGTCACGGTCTGGTCGGCGTCCGGAGGCCCTCTCTCTCTCTCTCTCTCTGTGATGTGCTCTCGTCGATGCGGTTCAGTTCTGGCCCACGTCTTTCGTCTGCTTGTAGACTTTATTGTGCTCCTTTTCTCCTCTTTACTTTTCTTTTCCCGCGTCTCTCCTCTTTACTTTTCCGTTCCCTTCGCTTGCCCAGCAGCTCTCTCCTCGGCCGCCGAGGCGATGCGCTGCAGCAGCTCGCCCATGGCGGCCTCTCCACAAACCAAAGGAGGAAAGCTCGGAGAAAGCTCTCTATGACTTCTTTCCTCCCTCCGCCTTCCTCGACGTCTGACTCACATCTGAACAAAAAGACTAACTCGGAAACTGCTCTCGACCTTTCGACTTTCGACGTTTCGATGTTGCATGCGCTTCACGGCTCCGGCTGGTGGTGAGCTGGTACGGAGCAGTGTGACCCGGAACACAGCAACATATGACTGACATCGCATGCCTTGGCAGCTACCGGTAAGTCATACGATTGGCTGCCGAAAATAGCGAAAACAAGGTCCGAGACAGTCGAAGTCAGCCTGACTTCGCAGTTGAGAAAGTTTATGATGTGAGTGCCGCGAACGGGCATCAACACACTCTGCACAACAGACATCCACTGACACAGCAGAAATGCTCGTTTCGGCAACGGCCTCCCAGTCCATGTTGGGATACATATTCACTGCCACCAGGCAAAGTGCCTGCATGACAACTCGCAAGAATGGAGGCCGTGGGGCCTGGAGGCCCTCGGCCAGGTACTCTGAATGGAGGCATGACTGCATGACTCTGTACGACTGTGCCTTGCAGAAGAAATCATATGTCAGGCGCTTACCCCCGTAGTCTGTGTCGTGAAGCACCTCAGACCATGAAGACCAAATGACCGTGGAGACCGAGCCAATGCCACATGAACAGCACCCTGGACCTATGCTACTCTTATCAGCAGAGCACTCAAAGAAACAACATGGCCTTGCCCAGGCCTACTCTATCTCTACGTTCACAGCCCAGCGTCTCTCTGGAAGATGATGTCTGCATCTGCGAGTGAAGACAAGCAAGGTCCTGAAGCGGAGAAGCAGCAGAGCCCAGCGGCCCAGCGGCCCAGCGGCCCAGCGTCAGGCCCAATGAACGGTCCTTTGGCTTTGCCAGGCCCAGGTACAAAGCCGAGCTCCTTCAGCATCTTCACCTGAAGGGAAGAAAGAGTTGGCAAAGGTCGGAAAGATGCTCTCAAGATCCCTCGGAAAAAGAATGCCAGGCACCCGAGCCCATTTCCCCGAATGCATCAGCTCCGTGTTCAGCCGTTCCTCTAGCAATGCGCAAGAAAGACAAGGCCGTGGAAAATTCAGAGTGCAAGCTTTGAGCAACGCACAAACGTCAGGGAGCCCGGCACCGAAGCTGCAGTGGCGTGAGAACTCCCCTCGGAGCACCTCGTCGTACCTTGCAAAAGCAATAGGCGTGCTTTGTCTTGGAGAGAGCAGGGGAGAGAGGGAGTGAGGGAGCGAGACAGAGAGAGCCCAGAGAAAGAGAGAGGAGCTGGAGAGGTGTGGAGATGTGTGGCTGTGTGCGTCGGCATTATGGCGCACTCCTCGGGCACGAGGACGTCGGACGGCGAGGCCAACACCTGCGAAGAGCAAAAAAAGAGAGAAGGAGAGAAGGAGATGAGGCAAAGAGGGGCAAACAAAGGAGAACGAAGAGGAGGTCTCTGCGATCGAGTGCCGGTAAGAGCACGGAAGTCAGTAAGCTGTATTCCTGCCTGCTTTTCGAAGTCCTGCTTGTCGGTGTTCCGTTTCAGGTGCCTGCGAGCACAGTCTCTGAGTCACTGTGAGCAGTTCTGTTTCGAAACAGGTAAGGCCCAGGTAAGGCTCACCTCATCAAGCCGTCGAAGCGCTTGATCACGGAGGGCTCCAATACCTGTGAGCCAACACCGAAACAGAAAGCTGAAAGCTGACCAAAAAGGCGGAGAGCAAAGTTGGGGGTAAAGCTAAGCACACAGGCAAGACATGTCAACTGCAGCTCAGCCTGGCTATGCTGGGCCAGTTCCTCGGCAGCTGTCGGCACGTGCCGCCTGAAAACAGTTCTCAAGTTGGGATATGAATGGGATATGGAGTGCTGGAAAGCCGCTTTGCAGGGATTCCCCAAGAGACCCCGGCGAGGCGAAACGCCGAGGCGAGGAGCACCGCCCGTGTCCTGTGACAAGGATGCAGAGAGGGCTCTGCTTCGGGCTCCCCGAGCTCTCTCCCCGAGCTCTCTCCCGGTCTGGCCTCGTGACTTGGGTGCGGGCGACAGCGAGGCGCTCCGGGCGCTGCGGCGGGACCTCGAATTCGTGGCAGAATTCGTCGGAGGATGTGTGGGAGAATTTAGCGGATGCTCGAAAAGGAAACATGCAAGGAAACCGGGTGCCCCAAAGTTCTCGGCATGAGCGTCTCGGTGAAGAGCCCGCTCGAAGCAAGGGACCTGGACAACGACGTGTTCTCACCGTGTTCTCACCGTGTTCTCACCGTGTTCTCACCGTGTTCTCACGGCTGTCACGGTCACAAACTGTCACGAACTGTCATGGGCACCGTCTTGTAGGATCTTGTAGGGTGCCCACGCACAGGACAGGGTGGCTCGTAAGGCGGAGGAGCCGCCATGCCTCATTCCCGAACATTCACAACGCTGCAGTTTTCTGAGGAATGGCAATCATCGCAAAACTTGCCGGAACCGGTGCACAGTAAGGGGCGGCCTACATTCAAAGGCTCCCTCCGGCCCACAGGAGGTGATGGGCACATGCAGCATATGCCTTCAAGTGCCATTAATTGAGCCCTCCTGCGGTCCTGGCCGGCCCACCACTCGCTCTGAGGAGGCACGAATCATCCTTGCCACAAAACTCACAAGACATGGCGCAATGAACAGCGATGGCAGCGGTGGCATGTCACGGCATGTCGCGTCGCCTCGAAACCTGAGAGCACTAGGCGACAGCCATCAGCACCTGAATGACCATGGTCTCAAAAAGACTCCGTGTCTCAGCAGGATGCCTATGCCATAGTTTGCCATGCTATGGTCACACTGCTGGGGGTCGGGCCCCCTTCACACGGACCAAAGCCGAAAGAGTCCAGAGCCAAGAAAAGGGCGGCAGCCGAATCTTTGCAGCACAGATCCTGATGCGACATGCTGTGACAGCATGTCACTGTGCAAGCATGTGAATGTGAAGGCATGTGAATGTGAAAGCATGTGACAGCTCGTCCCTGGCCCTCTTGGCCTTTTGCTGCGCCGTTCTGGGGAGCGACTTTTTTTCCGCACTGGCACAGATGTTTTTTCTGGGCCTTGGCCGTCTTTGTCCGCACCGGCCATTTGCCCCATGGCTTTCGAGGCTGGGCATCCTCCGATTTCGGAGCCGAGTGGACCCTGCTCAAGCCACAGCGCGACGCAACGCTTTTAAAACTCCCCTCAGCATGCTGAAGTTCACTGCGGATTCACTGCGCATGCAGGCTCTCACGGCTCACCCACGGCTCACCCAGCACACGTTGGTTGTGGCTGAGGCTCTGCCTGGCAGCGCAAGAGAATCTGCGAAACGCCCAAACACCACGATGCAGCGAAGAATGGTCCATTGCACCTGTCCTTATGCCAGCCGTGGTCGGTCCCGCACGTTTGGGGCAACAAAAGCGTGACGAGAACGTCTCTTCCACCATCCTTCCCAAGCTTCGCTTGGCAAGAAGCATCTTGGGTCGGCCCCGGCTGCCGAGGCAGCGCGCAAAATCAACATTTGTGAGACGCTGACAAGGCCTCTGAAGAATCCTCCGAGAGACAAAAACACTTGTGGGGACGGGTAGGGAACGAAAGCTAGTGAGGGCCCCGAGAAGATGCCGGCTCGGGGCCGTGAAGCGCGGTTGCCGTGAATGTAGCTTCTTTATCTGGACTGGGCAATGCAGACCACAGAAGAGACACGCACCCGACTGCCCTTTTTGTCATGTTGACAACAGTTCACGGGAAGATGCAGGGACATCCTATGCGCCATACTCAAGGCCGCCGTTGCTCAAGGGGAGATTCGGGAGGGTCCAAAAAGTTGTCGCACCTGAAGGCTTAGACTCTAAGGGCGAGCAGCGGCTAAGAAGTGAAACGCGCTCCGGCAAAACAGCGTTCAGTGTCATGCAAACCATGCCACAGAAAATATCAGAAAAGCAAAACACAAAGTGTATACAAGGCAACTGATGCCGGCTTGGAGCTGTTTCTTTCCTCGGTATTTACCCGCGCAAGCCTTGCATTCAGTGTTGTGGGTTGCTAGTTTCTTGTTCCTGAGCCTGAGTGGCGCTCAGCCTAAGCGCGCCGAACGGCACTTGAGAACCTCAACCACGTATGGGCTGGCCGCCGAAGCCGGGTGGGGGGCGGCCCCAATGTGCACACACCCTAGCTGGACCCCCTCCCCACATCCCTGTTGTTCAACCTTACGGTTGCTAAGACACTCGGCTAGCTCCCACGGGCTAGCTGCTGCTAGCTTTCGTGATAAAACGAAGGATCCTCCCATATCCTCCCTGACAGCCTCCGGGCCGCTCTCCTCGCCCTTGGCCTCGCCCTTGGCCTCGTCGGCTTCGCATTCCTCGTGGGTCTCAGCACCATGGCCCCGTCAATTCCCCACGCAACTTCCCCGCGCCGCGCCACTCCGCCTCCTTCCTCGTGTCCAGCGGAGCTGCGGTGTCAGAGCCACCTTCGCGGAGGACGGCGATGCGCAGAAGCAAGTGCTGTCCGAGCCTTGCTCTGCGCCTCTGCGCCACAGCTTCCAGGCCACGGTCACCAACTGCACCTGGCCATGGGGGCTGCTTCCTCTGAACAGCATCCTCTGTCCTACTACTGTCCCAACCGTCAGCATGAAGGCAACGCCGAGCCAGCACCTGAGTGCAGCGAAGGCACATCGGCGCATACCGACCGGACTTAGACTGCGGACCTGCACTGCAGACCTGCAACATCAACATCGTATACTTTCGAGCATACTTCCGAGGACGCTTTGGAGCTGCGCTTGGGTCCTGGCGAGAGGAGTGAGGAGCGGACTTTGTCGCGGGCCACCCCAAGGATGTACCTCCATCAAAGCAACGCCAAAGTCGGCCTATTGTGGCACCTTCGAAGGTCCCCGGGCGGTAAGAGAAGCACAAGTGCCACAGCCATGGTGGCAGCCAACCTGATTCACAGCATCTTTCAGATTTCACAGTCACACATTCACACACATCACGCACATCACATCACCCTCTCTCCTCCTTTCTCCTCTTAAGGCCCTTCAGGGAGCCGGGCTGTGCTGGGCAAACGCCGTGGGGCTCCTCCCCCTTCGATTCGAGAGCGGAAGTACGAGGCACTGCTGAGGGGGTTTTGTGGATGGGGCCTGTGATGGCCCTATGCCCAAGAGCCTGGCCTCCTTGTTCCACCACGGCGTCATCTCACAAACAGGCATGTCTTGAAACTGTCTTCAAGTCTTCCATCGCCCATCCAATGATTAGTCACATGTACTCATGCAAAGCTTGGCAAACCAGCGCATGTGTATTCAACACATTCAATGTTGCCACGGCAAAGCACTCCACAGCCACACCTGAAGCGTTTCGCCATCCAGGATTGCCCTTACCTCGATCTGACTTCTTGCTCCCACAGCACCCTCGACATCTCATTGCAACAGCCCCCGAGCCTGAAGATCAGACAGCGCTCGCTCGAAGACCGGCACCTGCCAAAGATCCCGCGCAAGACACGCCGAGATGCCGAGATCCCTGCCATGCGCTGTTGCGCTTGCTGAGACCTTGGGTCGGGATGTCGCGATGTTTGCGGGCCTGCTGCCGCAGGAAGTCCACGCCGAACGCGAGCAGGAAGCCGAGAACCAGAGGGCGGCGGGACCTCTCCGAGCTCCGAGAGAGAGAGAGAGGGAGAGAGAGAGAGAGAGAGAGAGAGAGAGAGAGAGAAATGAGGCAGGAGAAGGAAGAGGGGAAGAGAGCAGAATGCAGAATGCAAGGAGACGACGGCGGAGTTTTCGAAGCTCTCGGGGCCCGGCTCGAAGCCCGTGAGGCCGCTGCGGAAGAGGAGGGCCCCCAGCACCGGCGCGGCCTCTTTTGAGCAAGATTCTAAAAAACGGGGGCGCCCCCCCCCAAGTATTAAAAAAAAAAAAGAAGGCATCCTCTCAGAGCTCATCCTCTCAGCCTCTCTCCCAGGCTTCCTTTTCACGCTTTGCCCGGATCTCTCTGCGCACGTTGCTGCCTCGAAGATGCAGAGCATTGCCCCAAGCCGCCGGGACAGCGAGTACCTGAGATCTGGGCTCCATGAAAGTCGAAGCTCAGAAGTGTCAAGCTTGCAACGTGTCCTCATTGGGGTCTGCATGTTCCTTCACAAAACTTCTGCCACTCCAGGAAATATCGGGAAATCATACTACTCCACACTGCCGGTGGCACCCCTCGATCTCGAGAGCCCGCTCGTACCAGCTCCAGGTGTCGAACTGCTGATACCTCCCAAAGAGCACCCACGACTTCAGCCGACAGGAAATCGTGTGCTTTTCGTATCGAAGCTGATAGCAAACACTCCTGAAAGCTCGTCCGGCGTTTAAACTATTTCCGGGACTTCCCTGTGCCTGGTGCAGACATCAATGCATCGCCCCGAGCTGGTCGTGTTAAACCTCTGTGGGAGGTGGGAGGCGAGGTTGTGAGAACGTGCGAAGAACGTGCGAATGCTCGTCAGGAACACAAAATGGAGATAAGAAGACGGAGATATCGAGCCCATCGCTTTCGGTATTGGGTCTTGAACTTGTGCCGCGGGAGCCGCTCCCTGCATCAACGCCCATCCGCTGCTTATGGCATTTATGGATCTCTGCGTGTTTTAATCGAAACTCTACACAGAGACATTGGATACAACAAGAATCATACGGAACTTTCTCTGATCCTGTTCAACTTCTCTTGATTGGGCCTGCGCAAGCAGCGCACCCGGCAGCGCCGCGGCCAGAGGTCCTCTTTCAGAAGTGGCCCACAAGGGGGCACTAGAAGTGAGGCCCAAGCAGAATGCAGTTCAGAGCAAGTTCATATCGCATAGGTGTGCGGACGCGACATCCGACCCGAGATCACCCAAGGCTGCCACCATAGCCGTGAGCTGCAATGCCTCAAGCCGTAAAATGCGTGAGATTGCCCGTTGGTGACTCGTAGAAGGTTCAAGTTATTGCCGAAATGAGTCGACAAGAAGTATCCTTGTAAGTGTAGAGATCGGGTTTTTCTAGTGTTGGCGGAAATCGTCGGCTCAGCGTTTTTGCCACAGCCGCAAGCTGTCGCGATGGGACGTGTTGGGGTCGCTATCCTCGCAAAATTTCGTCGTTCGTGGATCGGAAATGCCACCAGTGCTGCAACAGCCGAAAACTACGCCATTTCGGCGTGGGCGACGAATACCAACACTGCGTATGACAACATAATCACGCATCTTGAAGCAAGCAGCATTGCTAGAGAGCACAAATCATGTAGCAGTATCTTCTCTTTGTCAAGTCGACTTGCTGTTTGGCGAGGGGGCAAGGAATTTGAAAAGACAAAGAGACGTAACTCTTTGCGAAGCCAGAGGTGCGTAGAGGCGACGGTTGTCCATGGACCAGAGCTCCTCTCCCTGTCATTAACGCTTGAATTCTTGGCCCAAGGCCACACACACACACTGCACACACTCCACACACTGCACACACTGCACACACTGGCCACGCTTAACACCAGTTGTTGTTACACGCAGTGCTATTGGTAGCCGCTTGTGCTTCAGCAAGAAGACACTTTTTAAGCCGCCATCTCCTTTGCATCGGGCGGCAGAACGGCAACTTACTTTCGACGCACCACGGCGCTAGAATCGCTTCCAGCCGAGTGTGGCTCTGGCTTAAACGGCCGAGCTAGAGTGGAGCTTCACCGCGTGGTACAAACAGTGACGAAGCCAGAGACGCTTCACCACATGCTGCGCCCGCCATGAAAAGCTGTATCCCGATGCGCCAGTTTGTCTGAATCTTGACGTGCGTCGCGTGATGTCCGCGTGCACATTTGGCGTGCATCTTTGGACTGGTGCTCGAAGCTCGAGCTGGCGTAGAGTCGGCGTTCGTGACCTATTTTGAGCTGTCGGCCCAGGAGGCATGGAGGACTTGCAGGAGCTTCTGGCGAGAGGTGGCCGGCAGTGAGTGCAGCGCCAGGCGGAGGGCAGCAGAGCGGCCAAGCCGGCCCCATGCAGGATCAGAACACCAGGGGAGCTGCGCATGGTCCAGCATGTCGCCGGCCAAGGCTGCTACAATGGGCGGGCACACGCTATTGCCGAACATCTTGTAATGCGCCCGAAGCCACGCCGGACTCTCCCCCTCCGCAAGCTGCGAAAGCTCGAACCACTCGGGAAAGCCCATGAGCCGGGCGCACTCGCGGGGGCTGAAGCGGCGAGGCAGGTGCGGCGCTGGCCGCGGGACCAGCTGGGAGGTGCCTCTGGAGATGCTTGTTCCGTAGTGCGCGACCAATGTGGAACAGACCTCAACTCTCGCAACTCATGTAACTCATGTGAGCATGTGCGAGCCAGGGCCAGGGCTCAGGGTAAATTAGGGTAAACTTTTAGGGCGGTTCAGGGTTCAAATCACAAAGTCTGGCGCCCGGCCTTGTCTCCCCAAGCAAGGGTATCAGTCATGCCACCCCGCCTGGACCACTTCTTGCAATCCTGCAGCTTTCGAAACTGCTCTTTGGAGATCGTCAGGTGCTCCAAGAGGCCCTTGGCTTCCAGGTCCTCCTCGGTCTCAAAGATCTCCTGCGCCCGGAGCTGCAGGTCCACCAGGGCCAACATCTCGAAGCCCTCGGAGCCCTCTGAGCCCTTCTTCTTCCTCGCCACGTCGCTCACGTCCCTGCGGAAGCCGAGGAAAAAGATCCGCTTCCGGGATTGAGCAGTCATGTGTCTCGCGTTGACGGTCTTGAGGAAGACATCGTAGCCGCCACCTGCCTCTGACAGTTCTCTCTTGATTGTTTGTAGCGCGCGGCCGTCGTCGCACTGAGCCAGCCCTGGGACGTTCTCAAGCAAGAAGAGTGGGCTCTTGGACACCTGGAGCACCCGCACGACCTGCCGGAAGAGCCAGCCATCTCCGCCCGGGTCCCCAAGCCCGGGCTGCGCACCCAGCGCGGAGAAGGGCTGGCAGGGGAAGCCTCGAGGCCCATCAGCTGCACATTCTGCGTCCCTCTCAAATGTCTCTGAAATGTCTCTGAAATGTCTCTGAAAACCTCTCAAAGGCTCGACTAGGCTCGACTCCCTCGACTCCCGGCCTCCCACCAGCATGTCATGCGAAGGGATCTCCGAGTCCTTCAAGAGGCTTGGCAAGCGAACTTGACTGCTGTTTACTGCTCTTTTCGGAGAGGGAGAGAGAGAGAGAGAGAGAGAGAGAGAGAGAGAGAGAACGGGTCCTGGATCATCCGTATGTCTCCAACAACTTCGGGCGTGTGTCCGAAGTTGAGGGTGTACAGCTCCCGCGTGAAGGGCTCGATTTCGGAGGCAAAGACGCAACGCCCACCGACGCTCTCTAAGCCGAGTCGAAACCCTCCGATTCCCGCAAAGAGCTCCGCAAAGGTGAAGCTGCTCGCCTTAAGAGACGAGTCTTCGCACTTCAAAGAATAGCGGAGGGCTCCGTTCCCATTTGGATCCCAAAAAATGACCACAAACTTGTGTGCAGTTGCTCAAGAAGCCACAGGAGAACAGCATTGACTGAACAGGCAAGTGTGAGACTTGCAAGTGACCACTCAGTGCACGCCCATTCTACTGCTCGCTCATCACCCGTATCCCACCCCAGAGCATCGCCGGAGAATCCCTGCATCCTACAGAGAACGCCTGAACCCAAAATCCGGGAGCGCCCAGCCTCAAGACCATCCACAAAAAATGCCTGGAGTGCCCAACCACAAGAGCATTTTCAGAGACTCCCTGGACCCAGACTACATCACCGAGCGGTTTTTCAGGAAATTTCCGGAATGCACAACCAAAGCATATCCTTGGAGTGCCCAATCCAGAGTATCCCCGGAGAATCCCTAGGGAGTGCACAGGCTGAAGAAGACCCTGCAGTGCCCAACCCCAGAGTGCAGAGCATCACCAGAGAATTTCTGGCCGGGAGTAGTGTCACAAAATCCCTAGGTTGCCCAGCCCCAAGAGTATCCCCAGAGAAGCCGAAAAGCACAACCATCAGAAAACAATCCCTGCAGTGCCCCCTCGGAGTATTTGCAGAGACTTCCTGGAGTGCCCAACCGCAGAGTATCCCCAGTGACCCCCTGAGCACCGGGCTTCGACGCTGCTGTTGGACATTAGCATTCAGCTCACCCGTATTCCGTGGTTTCGACGCTGCTCTTGGAAAGGTTTCGCAGGGCAGAGTTTTGATCCCGTGGGCCTTCAGGGCGCTTAGCCTACGCAACTCTAAAGGATTCTAAAAGTCTAGGCTTGGACACCTGGAGGACGCCCCCAATTTGGGCCCACCACAACAGGACCCCTCCCACACCCCCGTGTTCAACATGTTCAACCTTACGGTTGGTAAGAGACTCAAGGCAGCCAGGCTAGCTTTCGTGACTTTGTCTAATTGGGCCAAGAGGCCTTGGGGCTCAGGCATTCCACATTTTGCACGCCCCGCGGCACAGTCCGGGGTGCAGGCGTGGGGGAGCTCCGTGATTTCGAGGGTTTTGGCGGGGGCTGCGAAGGCTGCCAAAGCAACTGGGCCCGGCCCTGCAACACTTTGAAGACTTCAAGAAAATTCTGCAGCCACCTTCCGCCTTCTGACAAAGAAGTATGCCTACACATGCACATCTTGCACAGACACAGCCTCCGACAGCAACGCGGAAACAAGCGAAGGCAGCCTCCGAGAATCATGGAAGGCAACGGAACTCACAGGAGACAAAGAGGATCAAAGAGGAAAGAGGAAAGAGGAAACGGAGGACTCCGGAAGCTCCAGCCCACGCCTGTTGTGCGCCCCTGCCAGGAGGGGCACCAATCGCCGCTTCTCCGACATCTCCTGCCACAGCACGCCACAACAATCCAGAACGATCCGCAAGATGCCAAGACCTCTCAGAAGTTTCACAAGTCTCAGATGTCTCAGTCGACTGCTGTGGTCCTGAATCGAGATGCCATCTCGGCCTTCCGGATGCCACCGTCGAGGGATGCAATCCGCCTCTGCGAGGGCAGTGTACACCGCCTCCGTCAAATTCGCGGGCACCACCAGAGAGCACAGTGAGCAGGTCTCCGCGGAGGATCCTTTGCGGTGCGCTCGGCGTACTCCATCGAATGCCACGGCAAAGCACGCAGCATGTCCGAAGCCCAAGCTGTTGCCCATGCGGGCAAGGAGCGTTGGCAAGGAGCGCCATGAGCACATCATGGGCACATCACGGGCACATGCGCACATGCATTCAGCCATCTTAGCCATACAAGCCGAGGTCTGCGGCTGCTGCAATCAGACATACCTGACATGCATTTCTCCACCTGAGCCCCTAGTTCAGCTACTGATAGCTACTGGCACCTTACACCAGATTTCCGGCACCTTCTGAAGGCAGTGGATCGGTGCGAAAGGCGGGATGAGGTCCAGGACATCACCTGACGGCTTCTCCACATCTCTGAAAAGACAGCTGTGGCCGAGGTTCCACTGCCTTCAGAAGCATCAGAGGGAACTGCCCGGATCTTGGGCAGCACATTCACAATGGGGCCACGACTGAGCAAGAAGCAAATCCAGAACACTTCATCTCCACAGAAAGATGAGACAAGATAACTAAAATCTATTGAGCTACTATTTAATTGCATGACACACAGCAGGGAAAAAGCTCTTCATGCCCAGGGGATGTTCAGGGCCCAACCGGTAGAAGAACGGATGAATCTTGTCCTGAAACGACGTTAGGGACTGTTAGGGATGGTAGGAGAAGACAGAGGGGAGGACACAGAACATGTGGCACCACCCGGGCATCTTCGGCTTGTCCTGCGTGAAGCGGATGCTGAGCGGGCAGGCCAGGATCTCCTGAGACGCCGGGATCTCCGGAGCATCTTGCCAAAAGTCACTAAAAGTCACTAAAAGTCACTGTCGTCTCCTCCCACTCGTCAGCTCCTCCTGGATATCCGGAGCCAGAACCATTCTGGAGGCCTGTGGAGCTCGGAGAAGGCTCGGTAGGCTCTGTGTCAGTTGCCATGAAAAGCAAAAAGATTCCGATGTTGGAGCCTTCGTCACTGTTTCCCTCGGCTTCCTGCACAGAAAGGAACTGCAAGCTTTGGCTTCCGAAGGAGCTGAACGTACGCCTCTTCGCCCTCATCGCCCTCATCGCCCTCGACCCAATCTGCCAAAGCGTGGGCAAGAACCATCAAGAACCCAGAGAAAACTCGGCACGGGCGCACTTGCGCCTTGTGGCTCCGCGGCTCCCGAAGCCTCCGGGCCTTCTGGGTGTCTCTGCGTGCCGTCTCGGGCCTCTGACGGTTCGGTGACGAGACCCTCGAGAGACTTACCTCCCGAGACCTGCACCGTTTTAACTCGACACTTGGGCTCCCACCTCACGGCGCCGCAACATCAGCGAGCCAGGAACAGCATGGCAGGGCGCTCGGTGAGCAAAAAAAGGACCGTTGCAGGATTCAATCGGATACAAGGGGTAGAGGACGAACACTCTGTTGAATGTCGGAGTCGCAGGGTCATTGGAGATGCAGTCCTTTTGCTTTGTTGGGGAATTCCTCAGTCCCCCTCCGCTGTGACAGACCCAGGGAGAGCTCTGCTTGCAACACGGGCCATGAAAATGCGATAAATGCAATGTCGCAGATCTTGGTCTCAGATCCTTGCATCTGTCCTGGCATAGGTTCGCTGAAGTTCAGTTCGCTGACAACTCTGGGAGCTGCGGCACACAAAGCGACTGAACTGGTCCATGCTGAGAGCAAGGACATTCTTTGCCCTGCTGCAAACCTGACGACTGCTTGGCGCAGAACATGTGCGAAGTGTGGGAGAGTGGGAATGGTGTTTATAGCATTTATGGCGTTTGAAGCGCTGCAAAGCTTCAGAAGGACAACCTTTTTCATGAGCGCATGGCATCTTCCCCGACATGCACTCACATGGCCCGCTCGCTCGAGTTCGCCATCACATCTGTGGCAGCAATCCGTTGACGTGCAAAACAGGGTTGTCGTTGAATACGCTGCGAATCACGCTTCAGCCAAGATTATTCTGCAAGGACTCCAAGGACTCCCTGATACTCCTTGTAGACGCCCCATGATGCCATGATGTGATGTGCTGGGCTGAAGTGGCTAAAGTCTCATCAGCCTCACTGACTTCGCGCGATCTTCCCGTGAGCTCAAAAGGAAGGTCCGGTGACAGTCTCCTGCTGTGAGGTCCAAGACCCATGAGAATCGCTCCCATCTCTCATCTTCATCCCCACCTCGCTGCCAAAGCTGTCGCGGTGGCCACGGCCGCTATCTTCCAGGCCTGGGATGGGCCCCTTCGTCACGTTCTTGGTTTAGAATTCTGCCGCAAAACGGCCTTCAGCAGCCCAGCTGTCCTGCTTGCCTCTGCTCGCATGTGACACAAGAACCCCAAGAACCCGTGAGTAGCCGTGAGTAGCCGTGAGTAGCCGTGAGTAGCCGTGAGTAGCCGTGAGTAGCCGTGAGTAGCCGGGCAAACCTCCCCCAGGCTCCCGGGCGCTTGATCTTGTGCATGAGCCCACGCTGCTCCTCACGAAGAAAAAAGCCCCAACAGGCAGCGGACTTCAAAGGGCCCAGGGCATTTGCCTCCAGCTGTCGCTGCAGCTCGACATTCTCTTTGCCACGGGGAGACCTTGACAACGATAACAGCCCAGCGGCTTGGCTCGAATCCTTTTCTCCCTTCTTCACAGCTCTGACGGCCGGACAAGCGCGGCTTCAGGTGGGGCTTCAACACCACTGAGGCGTCCTTGGCGGCCTTTTTGGAGGCGGAGTGAGGGTTCTCAGAAATGTCTATGGAACATTGGAAACCCCCGGTTGCCAGTCTTCTCGCCGTCTCACCTTGATGCCGAGGAGGAAGGCCGGAACGTGTTTAGGCAAAGACGAAGCTTGAAGGTTAAAAAACTGCAAAACATGGGGGGGAGAGGGACATTCGCCTCGGCTTCCTCCCGTCCTTCCCCCTAACCCAACGCTTCCCATGCCAAATTCTATGATGCACCCCCCCCCCCCCCATCGCTTTTCAAAAGTTGCAAATGGGGGGTGCAAATGGGGGGTCCCGCCTGCCTAAGGGAGCGCTCCAAAATGGCCGCTCCCCTCTTTCTGGGATTCGCCTGGACCCATCCTGGGACCCCACTGGGACCCCCCCTGCGACCCTTCCTGGGAGCCCCCCCTCCCCCTTCTTTTGTTTGAGACCTTTCCCCAAAAACCCTCTTTTCCTGCTTTCCTGTCCTGACCCGTCTGAGGCGTCGCGCGCAAGCGTTTACAATTAGCTGGGATGGGAGCAGGAAGGTACGAGGGGGAACAAACTTGGGACACTTCCCGTCCGCACCGCCCCCAAGACCTCAAAAGACCTCCGGACGACCCACAACAAGACCGCAACGAAAGCTGAATCACTGAAGGCCACTCGATGCCACTCGTGTTTGTGTGGATGCCGTGGAGCCTAGATGAGCCGAGAACCCGGCAGAAACTCAAAGCGAACTCGAAGTAACCGAAGTAACCAAACAAGGTAAACATGGTAAACCAGTTCAATTCTTCTCTTCGGAGCGACACGCAGAGACGCGAACATCAAGTGTTGGCGTGCGCACCTCGTGCCAGCGAGCGTCCCGCTCGTCAAGGCAGCGCTTGAGCTCTCGGCAGCGCTCCTCTGGCTATTCTCGCTTCTCCCCCTTTCTGTGGGGGAAGGGGGGGGGGGGGCTCTCTCTTCTCTCGGTTCTGTTTAATGTTCTTATGCGTCTTGCTTTTTCCTTGAAACTGCCTAGTTGACGTATTTTGTGACCTTTGGAGCACCAAGCGTGCGACAGCGACTGTGACACAAGACAACGCAGCAGCAACATGTCGCCCTGGGTCACACGCTTTCGGCTTCAGAACTCAAAAGGATAGATTGGTGATGAATCGACGCACATCGCTCTGGAAACCCTTACGATACGGAGTGTCCGTTCCAAGGGTGGGAACCGACGAGGCTTTCAAGGCTACTGCCGTCGCTACGGCCACTGTTACGGCTTTTTTGACCTCTTTTTGACCCTCTGAGTTCCTCCTCGGCTCGCAGCTTGGCTTCGTGCTGGTCCAGATCAGCCGCGCGGCAGTGGAGGTCGGCGCTGCGGTCTCGGGCGTCCTCTCTTGCCAAGTTCAGATACTTCAGTGGAACATGGTGGAACTGCGAAACACGACTGCAACAGAGATCCACGAAGGCCATGGAGCATGCAGAAAGGAAGCGGACAAGAAAGAAACGGAACACAACGGTCTGCAAACATGAAGTTGACGAAGCAGTAAGCAGGTCTGCGTGCACAGCTCTCTCCTGAAGCTTAGCCTTGAGCCCCTCCTCCTTGGAGTTCATCTCCGCAAGGCCTCGGGCTTCGATTCCGCAAGGTTACTTTCGACTTCAGTGACTTCAGGGTCTCTCCAGTCTACCTCCAGTCTGGATCTCAGCAGTCTACGAGCTTGGCTTTCCCTGCGATGTTGCTCCTGACAGGGATCACAGGGGCACTTTACTTCTGACATCTTTCGACTTTTGACATGCTTGAAGTTGCTTGAAGTCCTCCCGTCCGTGAGCCGATCGAACATTTTCGCCAAGTCGGCCTCCACCCAGAAATGCAGATGATTGCAGATGAAAGCAGTTGGAAGGCAGATGACAAATGCGGAGGTGCCAACCTCCCGATCAGCCACGCGCTTTCCCGGGAGACCAGGTCAGCCTCGCCACGAAAAAACCGAACCCCCAGACCTGATGTCGAGGTCAACACAAGAAAGCCTCACGAGCAGCACATTGTGCTCACGGGCTTCGAGCTTCTCCTGACAAGGATCAGAAATCAGGCGAAGCAGGTGCACCATGCTGAAACCCTGCTGAAACCATGCTGAGACCATGCTGAAACGCGGGGTGTGCACAGGCATCGGCCTCCCGGGCCCGCAGCTCGCGCAGCTCGCGCAGCTCGCGGTCCCGGAGCCGTTGTCGCCTTGTGCATGTTTGCTTTCGATTTCTTAGAGATCTTAGAGAAAACAAGAGAATCTTCGGTTTGGCGAAACGAAGACCAAAGGGGCAAAGAGGGCCGCGCTCGGCATCTGCCCCTTCCTGGTGGGCGCTTCGATCCTGTCCCGTTCGCGCCCGGTCGCACGCGGGCATACAGATACCACATGAGAAAACCCTCAAAACGTCTCAACGCGACAACAAGACAACGGCACATGGACGCATTTATACTGATGGACTACTGCATGCTGGTCGACCTTGTGGTTCCCCAGTGGTTCCCACATGCTTCAGCGGGCTTGCATTCCATGCCCGGGCATGCATCAGCAAGTTTTCACATGGTCTGCTGCAGCCTCCGATACCGGCGCTCTGCCGGCCAGGCACCCTGGAGCAGTGGTTTTGGGATGGTTTTCGTGTTGTCATTCGAGCATGATTCCACCCAAGCGCATGTAAATGCAAAAAAACGAGCAACAGAAGAGGTGACCCCAAGAGCGTGGAAGCCGGAAGCACACCCTGCCTCTGGCACGGTGTCCTCTGACTGACGTGAAGCCTCGGATCTGCCAGGTTCCGCCCGGCTTGTGCCATTGGTGGCTTCCATTTCCCTATTTGGCTAGGGGGTTTGGCCACGATACGCTATGAGGGGGTCCGGCAACCTGCATGCTGCATTGTTGCATGCTAGACATAGTTCGATGATCTAATGTGCCCAACTTGGGCAGCGCAGACATGATCTGCACCTTGGGATGGACGAGCAGAGGTTGGCCGTGGTGCGCCCATGGCTGCGGTGCCATGGCAAATTTCAGTGGCTGTTTGTCTGGCGAGTCCAGGGTTTGGGAATCGCAGATCCGAAGCCGCCCAAGCAGCGATCCCTGAGCTTTCTCGGCTGTCATGTTGTTTTGCCAACTTCGGACATACTTACCTATTTTCTCCTGCTCCGTGCAGGTCTTGGGCTCTGGTGTTGCTTGGGGTTGTTCACTCGGCCGAGAGGCGTCCAGAACAAGCAGGGCCGAAATTTGGAGTCCACCCCCCCTCCGCCCCCAGCCCCGCTTGAAACTTTGAAATGTCCCTCGAACCACCTTACAATGCAAGATGCAAGCCTCTTTTTTGCACGTCCCCCAAGCACACTTACGCTGATGCTGCAAAGTTCAGCTTTCTCGCGGTCGCTTTCCATAGCTACAACCCGACCGTGCGGACTGGCAACTCCAAGGACAGTCGCCATGCGCGTCCCGGGCTGCCCAGGCGGCACGCAAGCGTTTACAATCTGCAGAAGCCGGAGGCCGGAGGCCTGAGGCGGTTTGGATCCAGGACCCTTTCCTGAAGCCCTTTCAGCCCCCCGTGAACCCGTCCCCTTGCCACGGCGGCCTCGCGTTAGCGGTTAAATTATGGTGGAATTTTGCGGATCAGGAAGAAACATGTTGGGAGATGTGGCGCAGGCAAGACAATAAGCAAAAAAGGTAGGAAAGTTCAGAGCGCGCACACAGTCTGTGTGTGTGTGTGGGGGGGGGGGGGGGATTGCGCCTCATCTGACCGGCCAGTTGCATCGATCAGGCTGTGGGAGTACCGGAACTGCAGGGAACTGTCAATACAAAGCGCTGATGCAAAAAGAAACCTGACCTTGCAATCCGCAAACAACGCATCTCTGAATGTTGTTCACAATTGTTCACATTGTTCTACTCTCCCAGCAACGGCCTCGTTGGTGGCTCTGGGCGACTTAGCTCTCGCAGCATCCCTGGCGAGCATCATCGTGCAGGAAGCAAAAAATAAGAGCTTCGAACCTACATTGGCTTTCCCTATCCGACACAGTATGCGAGTTCTGCAAATTCCGCAGCAACTCTCATTAAGGCATATTAAGACATTAAGACCTTCGGCCCTGTCTTGGCACCCGGCACGGCGACCGCAGCTCGGCCTACAGAGACTCCACGGGCCTGAGCCCAAAAGCACAAAAGGCAACCACAGGCAAACCTGCTGCAAAGCAGTGTAGACAAAGCAGACAAAGCAGTGTAGGCAAGGAACGAACTTCATCCAGGTCACTCTTCGGGCGTCACAGGTCTTGGCTCTCGCATGCACTCTCAGGCTTGTGCCCGGAGGTCCGAGGCTTCGTTCCCTGCACGTCAGGTGTAGCAAAACATTTTCTCAGATATCACACTGATCGAGGCTGGGCCGGACCTGGAACATAGGTGCCCGAACCTCCTTGACCAGCCTAGCAGAGGCGAAACTGGCACAAGTGCACTCGCAGGTTCCAGTTCAAGAAGCCACCAGGTCACCAGGACTCTTGAGGATTCACAAGTACTCACGACACTCCAAGCTATTGGAAAGGCTATTGGCAGCGACATGAAGGCGCCCATGAAGGTACTCAACATGTACCCAAGTTGCCACACACCGCAGCATCCCAAAACCGCTCCCGGACCGTTGGTGGAAGCCTTGCTGGGCAATTCCTTTTCATCTGCTACACATCCCTGTCACCCAGCCACCTTCCAGTCACTTGCCAGTCACCTGCTTGAAGCAACGGCCGCCCGGTTCGCCCCTCTGTGACGGCGACAACCCCCTTAAGCAAGAAACCCAACATAACCCAACCCCTGTTTCCCATTTCGAAGTCTATTTCCAAGGCCGTCTTAGCATTATGCCATGGAGCATAGCGTCTGCTCCCTGAAGCGGTGTCATCCATGGGAAAACTCAAACCTTTCATGGACATTTGACCTGGTTCCCCACCCCACAGACTGAGGTGGGGCATCTTATTGTCCATCTAACTCGTCACCACCAGAAGCAAAGGCTGAACTCATTTACTCCTGCAAATCGCGGAGGCAAATCACGGAATCCTCTCGGTCCTGCCTAGTGCCGCTTGGACCTTTTCGAATCCGGGCTTGCCGGAGCCCTGTGATGAAAAGCACGACGCGACGTCCGAAGCATGAGAGCCCGCAAGGCACGTAATACCTTACGTTTCCCGATGAAAACAGTAATGCGATCCCGCATCTAGACTGAAATGAAACGCGATGTCGGCGCCAAACGAACCGCCACACCTACACCAGAACATAGATCTTGAAAAGGGAGCTTAACCTGAAACAAACATCCTCTGTCTAGGCCACAGTCTTACCCTTCCCTCTGGTTTGCTAGGGGGTGTGTAGCCTGTCAAAGCCCATTCGAAAGGCTTCCTTATCTGTTCTCAAGCTTCTGGTGCATAGAAATTGATGTATCTGAGTGGGCCGGCTTCTATGAAAAGAGTCTGGTTTCAGGGACCTGGTTTCTCACCGCTTGCTGCACGGGGCCGCTGTGTAGTCTGGAAGGAGGATTACTTTTGGAAAAATGCTTGGAACATGAGTGTTGCTGCAAAATGAAATGAAGGAGCTTCACTCAGAGCTCTCGTTGTACATATGGACTCTATGGACACCGCTGTTGCAGCATATGACGTTCGTTTGACACAGATCTTGTCCCCCGCGCCCCCGATGGCCTGTCTTTGAGGCGGGGAGGCGCCCCGCCTAGGAGGCCAAAGGGAACAACTGCAGAGGAACAGAGGAAAGACCTTCTTTCAAGAGTTCAAGAGTTCAAGAGTTCAAGAGCGTTGACGTGCAACCATTCCATGGGTCTGGGCGCTTTCCCTGGGCGTCCGGGCCCTGGCGCAAACGACAGGACCTGGCGCCACAAGAGAAGGGCATCAGAGGGAGTAGGCAGCGGAGAGGAATCTTTCTTTTCGTGCATGTCTGACGTATCGTAGGTGTTACGAGACATCTTTTCTGACATCTGCCTGCCTGGCGATTTGCTGGCTTCGGCGTTGTCTTGGCACTTCCACTAGGCAATCCGGGCCCCGTTCGCCTGAGCAGCTTTTGGAGGCGGGCTGGATCTAGGACAGCAACTGAGAGCAGAACACTTTCCCAGGTGATCGCGGGAACACCATCCTCATCAGAACTCAAGGAACTTGTGCGCAGGCCAATACTGATTCAAGCATAGATGATGCATTGATACATCCTGAACTTGCGGGGCATCAACGCAGGAGAATGCTTTACTAAACTGCTGCCGCCCGCACCCCTGGCTGGATGCCACGACGACCGCAGTGGGGTTCTCAGGAGATGTCGCACCTGGCAGCAAACTCGAGGACACTCAGAGCACATCCTGTCCGACCTTGGGGGCAAACATTGACCACATTGAGTAGCAAACGGGCTGTGGACGGCGGCGTGCCCTGGCGAGGGACCTGAAAGTTCGACTTGTCTGTCGGGGCTTGAAGCCAAGTTACAACGTTCTTGTTTAGCACATCGTGATACCCTCCATTGCATCCCACAAGTGGGGCTTCTTTGATTTCTTTGCGAGCTTCTGCAGAAACCGTAGCGCCACTGCAGCAAGGAGGTCGAGAGAGCACGAAGTCCAACTTGAAGTTTCAGCTCTTCTTCGCT